TCTATCCGCTATTGTCCTTTCTCTGTCGTCACAATAATTTAAACCGCAAGACAAAAATGAGCCAACAATGGGGCATGGCTCGGATGCAGGTTAACTTCCATCTTTGCACGCACAGTGTACCCGGCACTGTGCAATTATATAAATATAAGAAAGATCATCGAAACATGAGGTTATCTGCTTTGTACGAGGGGGCGTTCCGAGATTGCCGAGTGTTTTAATGTTCTTTCTGTTTTGTATCATAGGTATAAATAAACACTCGTTCCCTGATGCGCAATGTGAAACCCAAGAAAAAAATAACCAATGAACGAGAATTTAATTATGATACTTCTATCCGAGTCCCTTTCTCGTAAGCTTCATTTATCATAAACGTTGTCAGCTTCATTTATCGACCACGTTGTCTGAATAACTTCGTTTATCACATGCGTAGTAAGAATAACTCTGTTTGTCCAACAAATTGTCTGAATAATGTCTAATTCTTACGCGTTGACGTACGACAATCGGGAAAACTATTGATAGATCATTCATGTATTTGGTTTAGGTTTTTCTAAATTCTTTATTTCCCATTCTTGCGTCACTTTTACATTTTAATGTAGATGTCTGTTTCGGTTAAGAAAGCAGCTAACCATCCATGTTCAAGCAAATACTGAGTTAATTGAAATGTCATTTAAAATCAAGACACGATTAAAATGCTTCCATAATTTCGATTTTTCTTTGTATGTCATCTTCCAGTTTGGGAAGACAAAAATAGATAGCCTCTTGTTTCAATTCATTTAAAACTTGCAAATCATTTGGAAGACAACAAATGGGCATCACGCAATCGTACATTAGAAAATTCAGAATGAATGTGAAGTGTGACGGGTCTCTGTCTATAAATATTTGTGATTTTGGGGTAACATTTAGTTTGCACAGTTTAGAAATAAAGGACGTCGGTACTTTCATAAGTGTTGACTTCCTGATGACGAAAGGATTTCCTCCGACGCATAGAATAATACTATCGTCCTGCCAATGTTGAGTTTGTACCATCTTATGGTTTATAATTTCTTTCCCCTTTCCTACCATTTCAAGCTCATCTTCGTGCTTTAAACCGGAATCAATGTTTCCTAGAAGTTGGATATTTTGTTCAGGAGAATATTCAGTAATCACATGGCTTAGTTCATTTGACTTGGTTAGAATATCGCTAAATGACTCGGGTTCAACTTCATTCTCATCAAATGCAAACTTATCTTCGTGCTTTAAACCGGAATCAATACCTCCTAGAAGTTGGATATTTTGTTCAGGAGAATATTCAGAAACAACCTGGCTTAGTTCATTTGACGTTGTTAGAATATCGCTGAATGACTCGGGTTCAACTTCTTTTTCTTCAAATGCAAGCTTATCTACGTGCTTTAAACCGGAATCAATGCCTCCTAGAAGTTGGAAATTTTGTTCAGGAGAATATTCAGTAATAGCCTGGCTTAGTTCATTTGACGTGGTTAGAATATCGCTAAATGATTCGGGTTCAACTTCATTCTCATCAAATGCAAACTTATCTTCATGCCTTAAACCGGAATCACTGCCTCCTAGAAGTTGGATATGTTGTACAAGAGAAATTTCAGTAATCACCTTGCTTAGTTCATTTGACGTGGTTAGAATATCACTAAAAGACCCGGGCTCAACTTCATTCTCATCAAATGCAAGTGGTTGACTGATTATGATTTCCGATGGATCAGGAACAAAATCCAAATCTAAACTTGGATCTGCCTCCTTTTGGATTTGTTGTAGTTGAGGTTTAATATGATTCAGTCTATATGGATGGTATGTTCTTTTTATCTCATAATGTTTATAATGGCTCACCCCTGTCATGGAGTCCAGATCACGAGAAGGCAGTTGCAATGGCAATGAATTAAACTCTTTTTGAATATCATTATTAATTTGATCGTCAAGGTATTTTCTTTTCTGAACGGCACTGGTTTCTATTAGTCCAGACTCTTTGTGAATAAGGACATATCTACTTTTACTTGAACAGTTGTGTTTTCTTTTTATTTTCCTAGTATAAACTTTCCCGCATCCAGTACATTTGTACATGAACCCGTAGTGAAATGTTTGTATATGTCTCTTGCATTCACTTTGGCTGTTGTATGAACGGGACCTGTCGACACACTTCTTACACACATATCTAGGGCTCTGTTAAATAAATACAATACTTTTGCGGAATAATGGTGGGAAAAATGAAAAATGAATCAATCAGGAATCTTGTTTTCATTAAAGCGTCGATCTTTGTTGATTTACGGTTAATGTGAAGAGTAGTTATCTGTGACTTACTACTTATAGTGCGTTTTTTTTTGCCTGGCAAAACAAAACCTCTAAGCAAATAAAACATATTTATATTGATATAGTAAATGTTGCGTCAAAACCATACCTATTTAGGTATATACTATACTATATTATACTTAACTATACCTTTTCAGTTGTTTTTGACCCTTCCGTTTGGTAATAGTTCATAGTAAACACCACGGGTACCTAAAGTAAGTAAAATTGTGTTATACATTTCTAATAAGTAAAAAAAAGGAACAAACACCCTTGGTAATAAAAGGATTTGACATAGATGAGCTGTATGCCTGAAAGGAAAACTGTATGCAATCTTAAATCTCCCTCCCAGGTCCCCCATGCCATATATATTTACCGGCATGGGTAAAACTAGCGAAAACACCGGTCTGATATGCAAGAATGTAAGAAAAGCTGATCTATTTAATATGAAAGACTTTAACTGGGACATTGTATCTTATTTCATCATGAGTATATCTGGTGTCATATGTTACCTTGATCTTAGGCTTCCAAAACAGATCCAAAGTTAAGTCTTATTGTTCAACCAACTGAACTCTTTAGTTAAACTGCAATAGTTAATTTAAAAAAGGCTCTAGTTATTGGCCTAAAATCGTGTTCAGTAGTCGTATTAGAGACATTGACGTTATAAAACACAAAAACAATCTAAACAAGGAACATGACTTGAAGTGGTTAGCGAGTGAAATGGTTACAAACTTGACAAAAATGGCTACCGAGTCATTGATATTTATAAACAATATTTATATAAATTTATGAAAATTTTATATCAAAAATTATATTCTCAAAGTTTTGATTCCAATATTAAAATATATACATAATTCACTATTAAATAAGAATTTAATTCCTCGCAAAATAAATGTGAAGAAAGCAACATTAAACCACTCTGGTTTTTTTCCTCACCTTATTTTATACAATATTCCAATCATAAGAAAAAAAAATCATAATCTTTTAAAAAATGGTATTTAGAGCGAGGTGGTCCTATTTCAGGGATTATTCTAAACAAGGGTAATTCAACTTTATGTAAATCTAATGTTATGCTGTGCAACATAAACGCTAGGAGAACGTAATAACAGGAAGTTGCGTCATATTTATGTGTGCGTGACTAACAACATCCCATTACAAGAAGCACTGGCCAAGTACAGGTGTCGTCTGCATATATGTTTCAGTTTCCAAACTTGAGTATTTGAAATTTAAAAGAAATAACTTAGTGGAAGGAAAAGTCACGTGACACTCAAAAACTATACGCACGTGTAATCACGTTCTATAATGTAAATTGCGGAACAAAATCGTCCGTGACCTCGATCACCTCCGCTTACACGTTTTAGTAAATTTTGGTTGTTGAAAATTTATAACAACAGTAGCCATGGATTGAGCCAGATTTGAGTGAAGGGACATGATTTTCACAATTTTGGTAGAGGTCATATTAGTCCATGCTATACTAGTATACCAAATAGCTTAGTTCTAAGCTCGTAGTTAAACAAAACTGGGATCATATGTTTTCCTCTACAACTATGTAATCAGTTATTCAATGGACATAAAGTTACATCAATCTGCAGTGCTACACGGTAATGATTTGTTTACAATTATAATCTTGTTCAGGAAGAATGTTAAATAAAATTGTAGATTACAACGCATGAGTGACTGACAACATCAACAAAGCTCAGCCCTGAGCAATTTGCGGTCAGGTGAGCTAACAAAATTGATAATAGTAAAATAAAAAGACATGATTTTTTCCACGGAAAGTCATTCGTATTCAGAGTAATTATAACAGTTTTAAAAGAAATACATGGTTAAAAAGAGATATTTTATATTTTTTAAATGAACTTTACTTACTACGTGACGTAATTAGAGCTTCCAAACAAATTAGATAAATAATCCATGTATAAAATATTTATTATAGGTAATTTAAAACAATCATTAACAACTGTTTTTTCGAAATGCAACTTAGGTTAACACAGGTTTTGAGACATTGAGAAAGGTGTCTAACAAATGTCGCGTACTTAATTTTCTATTTTTTGTGTGTGTTATTGTATCGTCATCTCGAGCAGGTAAGTGCATTTACACGCGCATGAATATAAAATTTCCAATCATCGCTTTACTGTTTCTCATTTATTATGTCCAATAACTGTTTCTTATCACATAAACCGCGGCGCAGGAGTGTAATAAAGCCATTTAATAAAAACGATATTACACTAGTGTAATAACACTTTGACGTGACGTCATTTTCGCTATCGCGCCCGTTTAACTCACAACGAGTGAAAAATGTCCATCGGTTAAAATGTTGTGAGCAACTTCCGTTCCTGGTTGTGAGCACCCATCTTTGACGTGTGACACGACAAACAAGGTGAGTTTTTCATATTTTTTGAAGATTACAGACATTTATGTAAAAATATCGAAATGAAGTTAGCTAGCGATGTGTTTTCTGAGTATGCACATGTAAAGATATTGCCTGTTGGTGGACAATTTGATGGAAATACCATGCGACGCAGTCACTCGGGGTAGCAGGAAAACTGGAGACAACTTCTCTTTGGACCTAATTTAACATTGAAAACGTCGATTCTGGTGACGTTTTGTGCATTATAACCTAAAACAGATGCCCACAAGTCTTCAACGAAAATTATTATCTGAAAGCCTTCATAGAAACGAAGATATACCCTTTTTGCTTTAAGGCCAATTTGTTATTCATTTTCAATAACTTGCTTTATAGCTGAAGGGAATGTTCTGTTGTAGACCAAATTCAGTGCTGCCGGTATGTACACATTTCTCATCTCTTCTCTTGTTGGCATAAACTTATCTACGTCTTCTACAAAATACATCAAGTAATATCCACCTTCGTTTGCGTTCATTCCTGATAACAAATCAAAGGATTTAAAAACTTCAAGCTCTTCAATAGTCTGTGTTTTTGCTCTTTCATACAAATCTCTAGGCTCATCTTTAATAAAGTCTCCATCAACGACTGGGTCAAATATAAAATATTCTATACTATTTGAATCTTGGCTTAATGCATTTATTGCTCCCATGTAATCTTGCCAGGTGATGTTACGGTCGCATTCAATCATCTCTGCAGTGCTTTTTAAATCACATCCAACCTTTCCCGCCATAACTCTGGCGCCAGTCAGTGTATTTCTAGAACAATTCATAGACCTTACAGAGGGTGATCCGCTTGAGGCAATAATTCTATGGATCACACCAATATTTTCTCGTTTCATACCTTGCATTTCGCCACTTATCGCCCCAGCTGATTCACCAAAAATAGTAATGCGGTTAACATCACCACCGAAGGCGCCAATATTATCTCGTATCCAGTTTAAAGCCAACATCTGATCCCATAATCCGAAGTTACCTGGACAATTCGAGTCCATTGTACTGAAGAATGCAAGTGGACCGAGTCTGTAGTTAATTGTCACTACAAGGACATTTCCGAAACCTGACAATATTTTGCTGTCATACTCATCGGATGAACCTAAAATGAACCCTCCTCCGTGAATCCAAACCATAACAGCATGTCCATTTGTATTATCAGGCGTTTGTGTTGGAACAAAGATATTAAGATGCAGGCAATCTTCATCTTGTGTCCCTACTAATGGTTTACTCGGGAGAATAATCTGCGGGCAGATAAATCCGTATCTAGTAGCACGGAATGGTGTTTGTAGCTTTGGTAAAGGTTCTGGCTTTCTGAATCTTAAGTCCCCAACTGGTGGTTTTGCATATGGAATTCCTAAAAATTGTTTTATTTTATATTGTACCCCGCTGAATGTCGTTTCCTCGGTTGTGCCTATGAATTCACCAGCCGTTGAAGATACAGCTACTTCCTGCCCATACACATAAACAACGAGACTTACACAAAAAATATGAAATGATAACTTTAAATCCATTCTATTTTCATATTTTTCATTGCTTAGATTTAGATTCGGTAGTTTTATGAAAATGCTATATTCATCACATGGACGTTAAGAATAGTGCTTGTTTAATTTAGAAGTTGGGTTATATAAAGCTCAGGTACGACATTAAATAATTATAGTATTTTCAACATATCCTTACCTCAAATATATCTATTATTAAGTTTAACTCTAACCGGTGTTTGCATTCGTCCCTCTAGTTCTTTAAACTTCATAGCAAACAGTACATTCAGCAGTATGTGGTAAAATATTTATTTACGGATACCGGTGTAACATTAGATTTTGACCCCGTTGAAAAGATTCCAAGTCTTTTTACAACATAAAAAAGTGACTCTGTCAATGATGCAACTTAAAAATCTTGATCAAAAAGTCGTTGAAATCTGATGAGTCGTTGAATTATAATGCAGTCATTTTACGGGTATGTTAAATTTTAGGTTTTCTAATGGAAATGATCTGCTTTCGGTAGAGAGACACTGAAGAATCATTAACACTCAGAGCCTTGGTCTGAGTCATAAACTTGGTTTGTATCAATTGCCACTTCCAAGATGTAGAACGGGGCGTTTAAAAAATTGTGAGTTTAGGGTCCGTTTTCTAACTTTTTTAATCGTTTTGTATTTTATATAGTGTATCCCTTCAGTAGCGTAGCTAAGCCTGAACTGAGATTATGCACAATCTTGATGGGTTTGGGTTAAAGGGACCGCCTCAGCTCCCCTTACAGCTCAACGATTGAAAATTGATAAATTATAACGGGGTCAAACTTTGTTTACACAACGGTCTTTAAGTTTTGTTTATTATTCAATATTATGGTAAAATTCAATGGTGGACTTTGTACGTAAACATACTGTTTACCCGAATATGATAAGCGATTTCCTTTGCATATTTTGTCAGTTTAAAGTGTCCCGTCTCTGCAAGGCTATCAATCTTTATATTTTAGGCTTTTTATCATTAGGAGCTTCTTTAACAATCATAACGAGCAACAAATACTAGACTGTGTTGACCCCCACCCCCTTTATCAAACAATGTTGTTTTTTTTCAGCATAAAACCGAAAAGAAAAGTCTGCATTAAAACTATTAAGTTTAATTATGCCAAAATTTCTTTTTGTAATTTTCGTCTGCTCAACTCGTTTCGTTTCAATGCACATTATGCCTGGGCTATGAATAAATGTTTCATGAGGAGATGCTCATCACCTATTTAAAGTATTGAATATGAATATAAATTTTGATAAAGGTAACAAATAATGTAAACAAAGAGGTATTTTGACTTCTAAATTGGCCTTTAAGATGGATACACATTATCATTTGAAAAAGGTAGGGGAAGTAACTCCATCAACATTGTAAATGTTTAATATTCTCTGATTACATACCTTTATTGTAATAATTTATACGTTGACATATATACCCAAATAAAGAGTTCGCGCGTTTTTATTATATAGTTTAAATTTTGAAATTAATTGCTCTTCGAACATTGAAACATATTCTTTTTCATGTAAACAACTGTGTATTTGTAAAACTGCATTGAAATATATACAATACATGAATTAAATTTCATTTTAACCAGACTGAAGGAAATTAATGGGTTTTAACATTTGTTACCAAGATCAGATGTCTATATATAAACGGATTAGGTTATATAAAAATACAAACGTATAGAAGTGTGTCATATAAAGTACATGTAATTAGCAAAAGTTTTCAGTAGGATTGCGTGCTCAACTTTTCTCGGTGCTTGATAGTAAAACGAGAGCTAAGATAATGTAGAATATAAAGAAAAAGTTCACAAAAAGGTCATAATTCTGTCGAAATCCATGTTATAGTAATTGCCCCTTGACAGTGACCTTCTATTATGCTCTCAAGTAAGTTTCAAGTTTGAAACTTGAGAGCAAAAACTTAACTAAAATTTGTCGCCGACGCAGACGCCTTGGTGAATAAATAGCTCTCCCTTTGCTTCGAATAGTCGAGCTAATACAATAATGATTACGTTGATGTGTTCTAATAAACAATGTGTCATTTGTTTTGTTGTTTGTACTTTTTTTATATTTTTATTTTTTACTGTTTGGAATACAATTTCTATCAAAAATATACTATTTCATCGAATAGTACACGTTTTTAATTCAGATATCATGTAATTTTTTCTACTTGAAAAAGTTGGCAAAATGAATTATATTGGTTTGTATATAATGTTACTCCTTCGATTTATAAGGGGACTAAACAAGCTAAATGTACTTAAAGGCCTTTGGTATCAATTAAGTGTTTTTACGTCTGTAAGTTAATAATGTATCAATTGTATTTGGTACAGCTTGATTTTATTTACACCGTTGGGAGCCAATTGTGAAGTGCCAGTCGTTGAAGAGAACTTGTTTTTATAAAATCTTTCAAGAAAAAGCAGTGAATAATAGGGTACAACCGTTTTGCCATATAAAGCATTCGAGTTAATAATAATAATACTAATAAAAATGATGATAATGATGATTAAGATGATGACGATGATGATTAAGATGATGATGATGATTAAGATCATGATGATGATGACGACGATGATTTAGATGATAATGATGATTAAGTTGATGATGATGATTAAGATGATGATGATGACGACGATGATGATTAAGATGATAATTATGATTAAGATGGTGATGATGATTAAGATGATGATGATGACGATGATGATGATTAAGATGATAATGATGATTAAGATGATGATGTTGATGATTAAGATGATAACGATGATGATGATGATTAAGATCATGATGATGATGACGATGATGATTAAGATGATAATGATGATGATGATGACGACGATGATGATTAAGATGATAATGATGATTAAGATGATGATGGTGATTAAGATGATGACGATGATGATGATTTAGATGATAATGATGATTAAGATGATGATAATGATTAACATGATAATGATGACGACGATGATGATAAAGTTGATGATGATGATTAAGATGATGATGATGATTAAGATAATGATGATGACGACGATGATGATTAAGTTGATGATGATTAAGTTGATGATGACGATGATGATTAAGATGATGATGACGATGATGATTAAGATGATGATGATGATGATGATGGTTGTGATGATATGATCATTATAATTAAGATGGTGATGATGATTAAGATGATGGTGATGACGTTGATGATGATTAAGATGATAATGATCATTAAGATGATGATGATGATGATTAAGATGATGACGATGATGATGATGATTAAGATCAGGATGTTGATGACGATGATGATTAAGATGATAATGATGATGATGATGACGACGATGATGATTAAGATGATAATGATGATTAAGATGATGATGGTGATTAAGATGATGATGATGATGATGACGATGATGATTAAGATGATAATGATGATTAAGATGATGATGATGATGATTAACATGATAATGATTACGACGATGATGATTAAGTCGATGATGATGATTAAGATGATGATGATGATGATGATGATTAAGATAATGATGATGACGACGATGATGATTAAGTTGATAATGATTAAGTTGATGATGATGATGACGATAATGATTAAGATGATGATGACGATGATGATTAAGATAATGATGATGATGGTTGTGATGATATGATCAATAAATAAATTAATGAAAAGAACATTTGTAAGATTAGAAAGATACCTAACATGTTGAGGAAGAAGAAGAACTTTAACGTTATATTGTAACTGGATAAGCACACGATTTTTTTTAATTTTAACTAACAGAATGAACCGATTTCTATGAAGACGCCGCGTTGACTATTATTTGTTTTTCTAACCCATTGCATGAAACATTTTGTATTTCTATAATTTCCATTGCCATAACAATAGTACTTCCTTCTTTGGAAAAATCATATTAATTTCAAAATCAGTCGGACTCAGATTGTTTTTATTTATTAACACAAATTTAAATGACAAATTGTACGATTATGGTAAAAGCATTGAAAATGGCTTAAAATTATTATAAGAAAGACAACGAATAAATGCCTTAAGTAGTAACTTCGGTTACAAAAAAAATGATTAAACACACAAAAAGCACATTATAAAAGTTAATCTTACATTTTCTACAACAATAATATACAAATTAATGTGGCCCGACCTATTTATGAAACACTAAGTCATGGATCGTCATGTTCCAACGGAACTTTAATCATGTTACAGTCGTTAAGGCAAAATCAGGCTTTATAGGTTAGTTTTACTTCTCTTAGCTTAGACATCTTCAGTGTTTATTGTTTCCAGTGTCTATTACTGTCATATATTTCTCGCATTAGGGATTTATTGCGTTAACATCTTTGAATTCAATGAATAAGGATGATGGATCTGAATTCTTCGATCATAATAATAAGTTTGCTGATTTCATGTGTCGGTATTGTGAATTCAGTAGTGATAACAACTAACGTTGGTGAAATCATTGGTAATATAGAAACAGTTGATATCAACAATACAAATTTCAAAGTGGATACTTATCACGGGATCCCCTATGCGACACCGCCTGTTGGTAACTTACGCTTTAGTAAACCAGAGCATGTAGCAGAAATATAGACACCTTTCAACGCAACGGAATATAGTTCAGCATGTTGGCAATTTAAGACTTATTCTGTAGCACCTAATCCTCCCCAATCTGAGGATTGTTTGTATCTCGAAGAAAAGAGACAACAATGAAATATGCCGCATTGGTGTATATTCATGGAGGTGAATTCGAATGGGGTTCTTCTGATTTATTTGACGGAAAATACCTGTCGGCATATGGCGGAATTATAGTTGTGACTTTCAACTATCGTCTTGAGCTTCTGGGATTTTTACAGTTAGATGAAAACGATGCACCTGGTAATGTTTGCATATGGGATCAGAAACGTGTCCTTGAATGGGTAAATAAGACTATAGAATCATTCGGAGGTGATAAGGCCAAAGTTTCGATACTTGGATTATCTGCTGGTGCGGTAAGTGCAACAATTCTAGTTTTGTATCCAGAAAACAAAGGTCTGTTTCAAAGAGTTCTAGTTCATGGTCATAGCGTTACGTCACCCGAGTACAAGTGGAATTCTGGGAACACGCTGGAGACTGATTATGTTGTACGGTCCCTTGGATGTTCATCTTAAAGTTCAACTGCTTACGAAATATATCAGCTAGTAGCCTAGCTGCAGACGTCAAAGCATATAGTTTGGAGGCTCGGAAAAAAATGTTGCGGGACATGTTTTATTTGCCAACAATAGATGGTACTCTATAAAAGTAAATCCTTATGACTTGACGAAAGAAAACAATAGAGGAGAACACGAAAAGTCTTTGGATTTCTTTAAAACACTCGACTTTTTGCAAGGGTATTCTATATAAGATGCGGGATTTCTTTTCCAAAATTTACTAAACATCAGTGATGCTGAACAGTTCAAGCCAACAAAACAAGATTTTATTACAGAATTTGCATTAAAACTGCCAGATAACAAAACATATTCCGATAAGGTTTATGAATTTGTTACTTCTACGTACGCTGACTGGACAGATCATTCAAATCCTGAAAAAATTAGACTGCAAGTGGCAACGTTTTTCACTGATATCATTAGAGCTATACCAGCTGTACAAATGAACAGACTTCATGCTAGATTAAATGTATCGTTGAATAATTATATGTTTCTATTTAGTGCAAAACCAGTGCTCCAAGTGCTCCCTACACCTAGTTGGCTAGATGGCAGAGAAAGGGAAAGTGACAGAAATTTTATATTCAGATGCTAGTTCATTGGTAACTTTTTTTCTGGGGTTTCATATTGTGACAACAAGAAACGTGTTTTATGTTAAACTATGATACAAAATGGAAAGAACATCAAAACACTCGGCAATCTGATTTTTTTTTTTTTTGATTTTTTTTTTTTTTTGATTTTTTGAGAATTTGAAATAAAAGAACCTTTTGTTTAATGTAAATATGTGCTCATGAAACATTGAAACATTAAATATTTCAGTTTAAAGTTTTATTCATAAAGCTGTTTTTATCTTAACATGAAGAAACATACTATTTTAGAGCCAATAACTCTCTTTTACATGATTTGGAGTTCTTTGTAATTTCTCCAATCAAAACTGAAGAATTATTTGAGATATCAACTTCAAATTTATATCTGCAAATTTCTAGAAATCAAGAAATCTAGAAATTTATAACTACAAATTCCAAGAACTATAGTTCTCGTTTTTATACTGAAATAAATTTTCCCGCCCTTAAGGCTTCAATTCAGTGATTTGGATCATTCGACTGGGGAGATCATTTTAACGAATTTGCTTGTTTCATTTTTTTATTTTAAAAGATATTTTTAGTATTATTATATTTTAATGATTATTTCATGATTGTTGCATAATGGCATATCATAATGTTCATGATAAAATATCATATTGTACTACTGGTTGATTTTAACAATTTTATAATGACCTACATTAATGAATAAATAATTTCAGCTAATAGTTATCTCGAGTGAACTCTGTATGTCTGATAAACAGAATTAAGATTAAAATTTTCTAATCAAGCATACTTTATGGTGAACTAATCGTTGTAACAGGAGTTTATGAATCAGTGAAAACTTTGATAAAGCGGTTTTTAGAAAACTGGTTTATTTGGGGTCATTCAAACGTTTTGGTAGTTCTGGTAAGATAGGCGAATGTTTGCATCTTGGTACTTTCAAGGATATTTCTATGGCAACTGTGTACTTCCTTTCGGTTTTGTTATACTTTTCTGGAAAAAGTAGATGCTTAAGCTAAACAATCATTAAATTTTCAAAAAACTGACTTATTATTACCTGCTTGTGATTTTAGACCGGCTATAAATAAACTCGTATCATCTGAATGGAAAGCAAATTGGGACAATGCCGTATTTAATAAACTGCACGATATAAACCCATCTATGGAAGAATATTAACGCCAGAATTACATCTTGCTTTCTTACGTTACATCGTGCTTTCTAACTTGTACATCTTACATTCTGACTTGTATATCTTGCATTCTGACTTGTACATCATGCATTCTGACTTGTACATCTTGCATTCTGACTTTACATGTTGCTTTCTAACATGCACATTATGCTTTCTGCTGTGTGCGTCTTGCTTAATTGTATGTTGATATCGTTATTTAACGATCAATTATTATTCATTTGTTGATCTGGTATATTAATTCAATAACTTAACCTGCAACTGTTTGCGTTTGGGTCTATTTACTCAGCATGAATGACGAATGTCATAAGGTAGAATGACGCATAGCCGAAAGCCGAATGCAGCAAGCATAATACGACGCGACATCTGGTGTAATAATATGTGACACCCAAATTATGCTAACAGGTGGCGCTACAGTTATATTCTCGGTAAAGTCCGTATTGCGGTTCGGATTCAGTTTACCAAATTACGTCCCTTTGTTTTAAAATTTTCATTACCACCGTGGAGGAAATAAGGTCAACAAATATACAAAACGATTTGACCAATTTTTGTATTTATTACTGAAACTCTGGGTCAAATTATATTTCCAGCTGACAATGACAGGTTGCACATTTCCAAATCAATGAAATCTAGAAATTTATAACTACAAATTCCAAGAACTATAGTTCTCGTTTTTATACTGAAATAAATTTTCCCGCCCTTAAGGCTTCAATTCAGTGATTTGGATCATTCGACTGGGGAGATCATTTTAACGAATTTGCTTGTTTCATTTTTTTATTTTAAAAGATATTTTTAGTATTATTATATTTTAATGATTATTTCATGATTGTTGCATAATGGCATATCATAATGTTCATGATAAAATATCATATCGTACTACTGGTTGATTTTAACAATTTTATAATGACCTACATTAATGAATAAATAATTTCAGCTAATAGTTATCTCGAGTGAACTCTGTATGTCTGATAAACAAAATTAAGATTAAAATTTTCTAATCAAGCATACTTTATGGTGAACTAATCGTTGTAACAGGAGTTTATGAATCAGTGAAAACTTTGATAAAGCGGTTTTTAGAAAACTGGTTTATTTGGGGTCATTCAAACGTTTTGGTAGTTCTGGTAAGATAGGCGAATGTTTGCATCTTGGTACTTTCAAGGATATTTCTATGGCAGCTGTGTACTTCCTTTCGGTTTTGTTATACTTTTCTGGAAAAAGTAGATACTTAAGCTAAACAATCATTAAATTTTCAAAAAACTGACTTATTATTACCTGCTTGTGATTTTAGACCGGCTATAAATAAACTCGTATCATCTGAATGGAAAGCAAATTGGGACAATGCCGTATTTAATAAACTGCACGATATAAACCCATCTATGGAAGAATATTAACGCCAAAATTACATCTTGCTTTCTTAGGTTACATCGTGCTTTCTAACTTGTACATCTTACATTCTGACCTGTATATCTTGCATTCTGACTTGTACATCATGCATTCTGACTTGTACATCTTGCATTCTGACTTTACATGTTGCTTTCTAACATGCACATTATGCTTTCTGCTGTGTGCGTCTTGCTTAATTGTATGTTGATATCGTTATTTAACGATCAATTATTATTCATTTGTTGATCTGGTATATTAATTCAATAACTTAACCTGCAACTGTTTGTATTTGGGTCTATTTACTCAGCTTGAATGACGAATGTCATAAGGTAGAATGACGCATAGCCGAAAGATGAAAGCCGAATGCAGCAAGCATAATACGACGCGACATCTGGTGTAATAATATGTGACACCCAAATTATGCTAACAGGTGGCGCTACAGTTATATTCTCGGTAAAGTCCGTATTGCGGTTCGGATTCAGTTTACCAAATTACGTCCCTTTGTTTTAAAATTTTCATTACCACCGTGGAGGAAATAAGGTCAACAAATATACAAAACGATTTGACCAATTTTTGTATTTATTACTGAAACTCTGGGTCAAATTATATTTCCAGCTGACAATGACAGCTATGTCGTGGCCACGAGGTAATAAGTCGTAGCCACGAGATAGCTAAGTCGTGGCAACCAGATACTTTGTCGTGGCCACGAGTTACTATGTCGTGGCCACGACATAGTATCTCGTGGTCACGACTTAGCTATCTCGTGGCCACGACTTATGACCTCGTGGCCACGACATAGTATCTCGTGGCCACGACTTAGTAACTCGTGGCCACGACTTAGCTATCTCGTGGCCACGACTTAGTAACTCGTGGCCACGACATCTCGTGCGCACGAGAACACAAGTCACCTTTGTGCCACAGTAATCTTCAGCCCAACATGCAATATTCATTTTATCACCATTTCTTGGGATCTTTTTTGTACATTTTGTTTTTATGTACTCATCAATTAACATTATGAAATCATTCGCCTTAAAGCTGCACTCTCACAGATTGACAATTTCGACATTTTTTTTCCTTCTCTGAAGCAGCTGATTTTGGCAGCATTTCCTTCAATTCAGTTTTAAGCTGACACTGTGAACAAGGTCCCGTATTCATAAAGCATCTTAGTGAATAATTTCAACCTAGTGAAAATTTTTTTTTTTTTTTTGACAAGTTGAATTTAAAAAATCTAACAATGTGTGTACAAATTTAGTTTGAAAATAGGCAAGAATATGTCCTAATTAATAAAAACACATTATAAATGTTGTGGATGGTCACAGGTATTGGAAATAAGCCATGTCAAAAATTAGGAACTTTTCAAGAGGATGAACTATTTTACTAAGAAGTTTTTTTATGGCCTAAGCACTTTGAACAGCTGTTCTATTTTATAATTATTTTGTTGATAAAAAATAATTCTAAAATCATTGATTTGGAAATGTGCAACCTGTCATTGTCAGCTGGAAATATAATTTGACCCAGAGTTTCAGTAATAAATACAAAAATTGGTCAAATCGTTTTGTATATTTGTTTACCTTATTTCCTCCATAGTGGTAATGAAAATTTTAAAAAAAGGGACGTAATTTGGTAAACTGAATCCGAACCGCAATACGGACTTTACCGAGAATATAACTGTAGCGCCACCTGTTAGCATAATTTGGGTGTCACATATTATTACACCAGATGTCGCGTCGTATTATGCTTGCTGCATTCGGCTTTCGGCTATACGTCATTCTACCTTATGACATTCGTCATTCATGCTGAGTAAATAGACCCAA